GCTGACTCATCTCTCTTCCCGCCTCTCCCCTCCCCGAGAGCCAGTTGTCTCCTGGGCCTGTGCCCTCTGCCATCTCTCTCCTCCTTTATGTCCCTCCCATGATCCTCTCCCCACAGCCCCCTCCCCTCGAGCCGCAGTCCCCCTCCCCTCCCCTCGGCTCCCACCTCCCAGCTGCCCCCACGCCCCCGCCATGGGACACGGGGCTCTGACAAGTGTGTGGAACCGAGCAGATGGGGCGAGGAATGGGGCATGGAGATGAGGGGAGCGTGACAACGCAGGAGGAACAGTGCGAGGTACAGTGAGTCAGGAAAGGTGGGCCCCATTCGGGAAATGGGGAGTGCTTCTTGTTGGCTGGGATATAGGGAAAAAAAACCCTAAAACCTGAAAAAACAGGGTAAGAAGAATTCCCTAGAGCAATTACCAAATGTCACCGAACACAGAGACGCTACAGAGAGTGGGTCAGTTCATTATGGAGCTGGTTCACGACCCAAGAAAGGGACAGGGGTCGGGGAGAAGCTGGCTCCAGCAAGAGGCCTTTTATTAAAGGGCAGGGAGGCTGGGAGGTGGAAATTGCAGCCCCAAAAGTGACGGGTGCCCAAGAGCTCCACTTGGTCTTTAAAAGTCTCTCTATGCTCTCCTCCTCACCTTGGCGAGATGCGAAGCCACAGTGCAGGCCGAGAGGGGAAGTGAGGAGCAGAGCCCGCAGGTCCTGCCCTAAGCGCCACCGCGGTCCTGCAGCCACCGAGGGCACTTTGCAGTCCGCTGTGATGTCTCTGTGCAGTATCTGTGAAAGCCCCGAGCAAACCTCTGGGGCGGGAGCAGCTCAGGTGGCAGGAGAAATGAGCGAAGGCTGGCCGGGCAGGTAGAGAGCGGGTTTGCGCCTGCGCTGGTCGCCCCTGGGTCCCCAGCATGGAGCAGGCCCTCGGACAGGGTCTGTTGAATGCATGAGTGGATGAAGGATGGTGACAGGCACTGGAAACGGACAGAGACGATGTTTGAACCGACTGACCGCTGGCTCGGCCGTTGCCGTTTGTGTTCGAGGAAGCCTGGAGGTGGACGGGTGGAAGGAGTGTGAGTCCTAAAGGGTGGGTAAAAACACAGCGAGTGTGTACTGTGTGCAGCACACGGTAAATGGGATCGTGCAGTCCTCAGCGCCACCCTCTGAGTAGGTGTCATTATTATCCTCCCTTGTAGGTGAGGAAACAGAAGCACAGAGAAACAGAGCGACTTGTCCAGGGCAGAGCTGGGATTTGAACCCTGGACCAGCCAACTGGTCCAGATTCTGGCTCCTTTCCAGGACGTGACACTGTCTGCTGCAGTTTGGGACGTCTTGGTGGCAGTAAAGAGGAAGAAAGAGGTCAAGAGAAGGGGAGCAGCGAGAGTTCAACTGCAGCTGACCACTGAGCTTCGGCCCCCCTAGAGGGAGGGGAAGGGCTCTGACCAACAGAGCTGCCCGGCAAGGGCCGAGGCCACACAGAAGGGAGCTAGGAATGAAAGGCAGGGTGATCGTCGTGGCAGAGGGCTCGGGCAGAGGGACGCAAAGAACTTGGGAAGTGGCAGCTTTCACCACTGGATGAACGGATAAACAAACCGTAGCACACACTGATGATGAAATATTATTCAGCCGTAAAAAAGGAATGACATGCTGACACCCGCTACAACACGGGTGGACCTTGAGAACGTGAGGCTCAGTGAAAGAAGCCAGTCATGAAAGACCACATGTCCTATGATTCCATTTATACGACACGTCTGGACTAGGGAAACCCATGGACACAGACAGCAGATGGGTGGTTGCCTGGGGCTGGACGGAGAGGAACGGCGAGTGGCTGCGTGATCGGTATGGGGTTTTGTTTTGGAGCAGTGGAGATGTTTTGAAACTTGATACAGGTGGTAGCTGCTCAACATTGTGAATGTGCTGAATGCCGATGAGTTGTCCACTTTAAGCTGGTTGATTTTATGTTACGTGAATTTCACCTCAAATTTGAAAAATGGATCAGGGATGCTCAGAGTATAAGCTCCAACAAGGTACGAAATTTGCCTTGTCTCTAGCACCTGGGAGTATGTACTCAGTAGGCGCTCAATAACTGTTGTTGAGCGAATGAGAGGACAAATGTGATTCCCTGTTAACTAGCTCCTGATGAGCGGATGATGATGACAGCTCACTGATCGGGCACTTCTTATGCGTCAGCATTTTCCCAACTGCTTTACACGCATTGCTCCTGTAATCCTCACCGTAACTCCTTGAGGAAAGGGTCAATTGCATCCCCATTATACAAACGAGGAAACTGAGGCACAAGGAGGTTAAGTGGCTTCCCCATGAACACTGAGTCAGTCAGGGGTGAGGCCAAGATTCAAACCTGGCTCGTCTGCACCCTGAGCCGTCATGCCGGACAGAGAAGCACTTACAAAGTCCAGCAGCCTCAGAAACTCAAAGTGCTGCCACGGCTGAGGGTCTACACCAGAGGCAGAGGGACCCGGCATTGAAGGCTTGTGTCATGGTGTCGCAAGGGGTCAGGTTTTAGAGCCAAGCAGAGGTGAGTTCCAATCCTGGCTCTGCCCGTTACTAACCGTGAGCTTAAGAAGGTGACAACACTGCCCTGGCCTCAGTTTCCTCGTCTGTACAATGGGGAGTGATGACATCCACTTTGCAAAGCCGCGGCAAGGACCGTCAGTCCATTCCATCCAATGCCAGCCTCACGCGAGCGCTCGTAAGTGTCGGTGCTTTCATCGCCTCGGGATGAGCTCCTCCCGGGGGTCCAACAGAGTCTGAATGCTCCCGGAGGGGCTCAGGCACTGGGCTCCGTCCTGTGGGCACGGCCTCCTCCCTCCTCCGTTTTAATTTGCAATCTCAGGCAGGGACCTTTCACCCCGACGGCTAAGTTTACTCCAAGGGGTGTTGCTGTGAGCAGTTAGAAGAAAAAGAAGGAAAACTGCTTTCTTTCTCCTGTCTTCTAACTCTGAAGGAGAAGCTCTGTGGGTCATAGCCCCGGGGTGTTGTCCCCCCACGAGTCAGTAATTCATCTGAGCAGATGCTGCCAGACCCCTTGGGACAACTCAGGCCCCTTCGCCTCCCAGGCACGGCCGCCCCCCAGAAGCAGCTGGCCGGAGATCGTTAGCAGCTGGCTCGCTGGCTCTGGCCACTTTCAGACTGACATCCCCGAGGGCGCATCAGGGAGAAGAGAGCATCATCTTCTTATGTAAATGTGAGGCGCACAGTCTTGAAAGAAGAAGACTGCCTCGTCCTCAGCCTCCCGGCTCTCTGAAACAGACACGCTGTTTCTGAGGGTCGCACCCCCAGCCTCTCCCCGGATCCAAAGGCGATTTCACAAAGTGAAAGGAGTACAGAGATGCCACTGGCGTGAGCAGCAGCCCCTCTGGTCCGGGAGCAGAAATGGCTGCCTGACGCCTCGGCTCAGGCTTGGGGCTGCCCCGCTCGGCGTGCCTCTTGCCCACCTCTGATCTGATTCCCTGAGTCCCCGTTAAGCCAAGCCTGGGTCACACCCCGGGTAATTTTCAAAGTGTTAGGCTCTGAAAGGATCCTGTCCCTTTGCAGTGTCTAAATCCTGGCTCCCTGGAAATCCCTACGAGGAACAGGCTTGTGGAAACCTGGGGTTCCTTCCGCAACAGGGATCAAGGGCACCCGTGGGGGCCGGGGGCCGGAAGCCCCTTGTGTCTTCCTAATCTTTTTACTGCAGTGTCCACCTGGAAATATTTCTGTGAATAAGCAGGCTCTTAAGTCACATGATTTTGTGCTAAAGAATGAAAAAAATGCCTATGGTTGGAGCTGTAGCCCTCTCCACAAGGAAAAAGCTGTTTGAAAGTCAAAAACATTTTGGTTGGTTTGCTCTAGGACAAACATTTATAGTTTGGACAAGATACATTTCATTCAACAAATATTCATTGAGAGCCTACTCTGTGTGAGGCACAGGCTTGTTCTCCATCTAAGTCCTTTCTATCTGGAAAGTTCTCTGATCCTACCATATTACCCTGGGATATACTTTTAAGGGAAGAGAACTTACGTGGACTGACAATGGTTATGGGCCATATTTAGGGTGCACTATCTTACGTATGTGTTTTGTTTATCGGCTCCCTCCTAATGTGAGCTCCGTAAGTTAGGGTGATGGGGAGCCATGGAGGAGCATGGAGCAGGGCAGGAGCAACATTTTAAATTAGGAAACAATCCAGTTCTCAGTCTGAAGCTCCCTAATAACCCTCCCAACAAAATGTTAGATTCAGACCATCTGGCCCCCTGGGGGGGAGGTCTTTTTCCATAGCTCCCTGGAAAGAGAATGCAGGAGTGGGCAAGAAAAACTTTTTGCTCTGGCCTCCTGGGGCAGAGTCACTTAGAAGTCGACTCCTGTCTGAGCTCCTCATCCGGTGAGACTGACTGAGAGGCTCAGGAGTAAAGTGACAAGCACGGAAGCTGAGGGCCCAGAATCTTTGCCATCGTCAGCATCTTTTCTCTGTAACCCCGAGGAAGCTGGAGTAGCTGGCTGCCCCCGAGAAAGTGGGCTCGAGAAGGCGGGGACTTTGGGCCTGGCACAGTGTGTGGCCCAGAGCAGCTGCTCAGTAAGCACACGGTGAGTGAGGGAATGTGTGGACTTTCATGGCCACCCTGCCCATTTACAGAGGAGGAAACCGAGGCTCAGAGAGGTGAAGCAATTTGCCTGTGGTCATGGAGCCAGGAGAGGCAGAACTGGGCCCACCGGGCCCACTAAGACCAGGGGCAGCTTTGTCACTATGCAAGCCTCACCATCAGACGCAGGGCCGCCTTGTGACTTTTGCAGGCCCTGGGCACTTCTGCCTTCATGGGCTTCTTCCTCCAAAAATCACATTAGAAATTATCTTTTACAACTGTGTCTATCGGTCTAAAAATGAATACGATCCGTGCTAGATCCTAGTCAATCTTTCCCTTGTTTGAAAAGAAATGAGAACATTTCTGTGGGCCCTAAGTCTTGTGGGCCCTGGGCGCTGTGCCTGATGGAGAAACGGCCACTCACCTTGTCCTCCTCGGCCCTCAGGTCGGGCAAGGTGCTGACACACAGGCTGACCGCCGTGGTGGCCACGAAGAGGATGGACAGACAAGCAAAGACCTTCCCGGGCAGCCCCGACTGCGGGTTCTCCACGGTCTCCCGCAGCCAGTGCATGCAGAGCCCCCAGCGCGAGGCGGCGGCGGCCGGGCCACCCGCGTCCCTCTGCCGCTGCAGCGCCTCCTCCCTGCGCAGCTCGGCCAGCTCCTCCAGCCTCTTGAGCAGCTCCCGCAGGCAGCACTTCTCCAGGTTGGCCTCCTCGATCCCCCAGTAGGTCAGCTCCTCCCGGAAGGACAGCACGCACATCTCCCGCAGGAGGGCCAGCTTGCCGGCCGCCAGGAAGCTCACGATGGCGCCGAAAGCGTTGGGGCTCCTGTCAAAGAAGAACTCCTGACTGTCCTCATCGTAGTCGTCGCAGAGCTGCGCGATCTCCTCGTGGTTCTGGCAGAGCTTGAGCTTGCTCAGGCGGCTCAGTGGAAAGTCGTCCAGCGTGCTCCAGGGGAGGACGTACCTCCGGCCCCCGACGTTCACCAGGATCTCCTTCTTCAGGTCGGCCGCCGGGGAGGCGTCCCGGGCGCCCACCCGCCGGGCCCTGCGGTAGTAAAGGCCCTTGATGGACGGCGGCTCCACGGCGCCGGGCAGGAGTGGGCTGAAAGGGCTGCAGGAGCGGGAGCGGTGGTGCCCGGGAAGCAGGCTCCTGTCTCTGGAAGGCACAGGCATCGCCAAAGAGGTCCTGGCACCCAAAGGGAAAAGAGCAAGAGAACAGGGAGAAACCGATCTCAGGGCAGAGTCCTAGATGGCACGGACATTGCTTCACGTTCGCTTTCCTGCAACTGCATCGGCATCATTCATTCTTTTAATCCTCCATCCAGCACGGATTTATTGGGCACCTACTATGCACTTGGGGTCCATCAGTGAACCAAAGGAGAAGAGGACATCCCTTTCCTGGTGGAGCACATGCTTCTATCTCAGGAGAATCTCCCTGGAACGGGCATTATGTGGATGGGGACCTGGGGAGCGCAGTCCTGAGCTGGCCAAGTCAGAGCTGTGCCACTTCCAGGCTGTGTGGTCTTGGGCGTGTGGCTTAACCTCTCTGATCTCAGCATCTTTCATGCCAATGATAAGACTCCTACCAACCTTGCAAGGGACAGTTGGTAAAAATAGAGGTTAAGAGGGTAAGGGGTTCTCAAGTTCACAGCCACGTTCTGATCCCTTACGGACTGCCACCCCATGTGGGTTACTCAGCCTCTCTGAGCCCTTTGCTTCACCAGTACAGCTGGGGTCATTTGAGCATCCACCTCATGGGGCACAGTGGGGGTTACATGCAGTAATATGCATGAAGTGTGCATTAAGAACACTTCTAGATGCTTCTGACATGCCAGGCACCCATCTACATGCCTCCCCCGTGTTAGCTTGTCTCAGCAACCCTGTGAGACGGACGTCACGTCCCCATTTTACAGATGAGGAATTGAGGCACAGAAAGTAACGAATGAGAGATGTGACTGCTTAGCACAACCTCTGACTCTCAGGAGAAGCTCCATGACCGTCACCTCCTCCCTCTTATTTGCTTTCTCATTTGGAGGACTTTGCTGTCAATGACAGCGCTCCTCCACGCTCACTGGGTGCTTGCCTCGGCCCCCCTTGCTGTGTGACCTTGAGCCAGTTATTCCCCCTCTCTGGGCCTCAGCCTTGTTATCTGCAAAATGAAGGGGCTTCTAACGCTCTCTCCATTTCAGGCCTATTTGGGACGCTTGACTTAGAATAAGGGTTTCAGCTTTTGCCCATGCCTTCAAAAAATCACTTCCAGAATCTCTCTCATCCTCAGCATCCTGCAACCATTTCCTATGCTATTCATTCCAGGTGGAGCTGTTTCCACAGCATCTATAGCCTTACATTCCAAGATGCACTCCACTCGAGAGGGAAACTCAGCAGCCGAATGGAAATCAAAGTTCCTCTCAGTTTCGGAGCTGGTTGGATTCCGGCAGAGAGTGAAGAGTTGAATCACAGCCCGTGCATTTCACACTTGCTCGCCACACAGCATTCTATCATTCTGCCTGCCTTCCTTTGTCTACAACGCACGGCCAGAGGAAGATGAGCAGCCTGTGGAGAGAAGGGTGTTTTGAAATCCGGGGAGTCCTTCCCAAGCATTCTCATCCTCCCAGTGCAAAAACCCAGACCCATGGGGCTGAAGTGGCTCATCCAAGGTCACACAGCAAATCGGAATCCACCCTGGGACTCTGGCCCCCAGTGGGGCTCTTTCTAGAACCCCCCCAAACTGCCCTTTCTGCATCACTGCACAAACCCAACTTTGCAATCTACTGCCCCCCCAAAACAGCCGGCACGCAAGCTCTTCCAGAGCGTGGGGAAAGCGAGTCGCTCAAAACACCACTGGGACCGAGGATGCTGACCTGCGTCCTGCAAACCCCCACCCCAGGAGCCCACACGAACTTCTTCCCCCGAAGTTTAACTCACCCTCCTGTCTCAGGGAGCCCGTTTCCAGCTGTTTCTCTGCTGGGCAGGGGGAGCCCATGTCTCACTGCCCAGGGGAGAGATGGGTTTGTGGTGACGATGAAAGAGAAGAGAAGAAAAATCTGAAACACAGCAGTTTCTGGCAGAGTTAGTTTCCCGTCTTTCTTCCCTTGCCTCCTCCAGAACCCAGAAGTCCGTTCATTCTGCATCTCTCTCTCCAGCAACTGCAGGACAGCCCCGGGGGTGGGGGGGTGCGGTGGGGTTTTTAAAAGGACCCAGAAACCCTTGGCCTCATGAGAGGTGAGGGTCTGAGGGGTTCATGCTAGCAGGGAGCTGAACCAGCTGTCCTGCTTCGGCAGCGGGCTCTGCACTCCGAGTCCCACGGGGACAGCCAGTGTGGTCCTGCAAGGGGGGGTGGGGGATGGGAAGGGCTTAGAAATAATCTCTCCATCAGCCAGGCAGCAGGCAGCCTCAGCCGCCGCCGCGCTCTGCCAACCGCCTGGAAGGCAAGGAGAGCTGCGCTCGCCTCCCCTCCCCTCCAAGAAGGAGCGCAACTCGGCAGGAGCAGAGGGCAACTTGGGGCCAGGCCGGCTGCAGCTGCCTGGCCCTGGCTCCTGAAGGCTCGTCGCCCGGGGTGTGCCGATGCCGGGGAGGAGCTCAGGTCGAGGCTGCCGGAGGAACTTTTTGCTGTTTTTTATCAGCCCAGGCCTGGGACATGTTCAGACAGAGAAACCCAGTCTCCGGGCTCTGGGTGGGAGTTCTGGAAGCTGTACGATGGACCAGGAAGAGGCGTGAGCCTGGAGTCACACACACCTGGATCCCCGGCTCCAATGTGAAGGGCTGGGTGACCTTGGACAGGTGACTGAGTGCCTCTGAGCCTCAGTTTCCTTGTCTGTAAAAAATACGAGAATGAAAGGTGGTCGGAGGATGGTCCCACCAGAAGCCGCAGCGCAGGCTCCTTCTGTGGGTTTGGCTGCAGGATGGGGGTGAAGAGGCAGAGGCACAGTTAGTTCCAGGACCTGGGTCCTAGCATCGGCTCTGTACTGCCTTGCTGTGTGTCCTTGGTCAGTCACTTCACCTCTCTGAACCTCAGTCTTCTCACCGGTCAAATGAGGACAGCCGAAGCCGTGATGGCTAAAATTGCAAAACCTCTTCTCACGAAGGTGCTCAATGTACATCGTCTCTCCTTAATTTCCTTAAGAGGTTCTGAGGCCCAGTCTCTTGGCTTCCAAAGCGGAGTTATCATTATCAGCTCCATTTTGCAGATGAAGCCCCGAGGTCCAGGGACGAGCTTGCTCGGGGTCACCTTGTTGAGTGGAATCTGCACTTAACAGAAACGTGGAATTCTGATGCAAGGATCGGGGAGGGAGGAAGGCCTGCCAGAGCCCCCCACGGCCGCCTGGAGGGGTGGCAGGAGCGCGGGCCTCGGTGGGCTCTCTGGGGCCCGGGCAATGGGGATGAAGCCAGGCGGGTGCAGAGAAGCCGACTGAATGGAGGTGGGCCAGGCTAGCGGGTTTCAAATGGTATTACTGGAAACTCGAGGGTTCTGCAGAAATGATTTAGGGGCCTGAATGGAGGGTGACAAAGGGGAGGACAGGGTGGTGAGGCCCCCTGCTTCATCATGGCGGCCCCCCCTGGATCATCTTTCCATGGTGAGTCTGTAAGTGTAACCCAGATAAATGCCGTGGCCCACATGGCCCAGTCTCCACACTCAGCCCACTCACAGACCCCAGGGCACCTGCTGGTGATGGAGGTGCTCTGCCCTGTTCCCCTGGCACCCAGTTCTCTCAGACCCCGTGGCTACTCCAACGCCTCTCATAAACCGGACTCCAAAATTATCTTTCCAGCTCACGCTGGTTGTCTTGCCCCCTCTCCTCTGTCTGCCCGCCTCCCCCAGCTCTTTATTACTTACTTTGACTTAACAGTTCTGCCTAAATCTCCTCCAACCTGTCCTCCTGCCTCTCAGTTCTCTTTGCATCCTGAGTGCATGGGTTCAAGTCCAGAATTTACCACTTCCCTGCTGGGTGACCTTCAGCAAGTTTCTTAACCTCTCTGTGCCCCGATTCCCTCATCTGTGAAATGAAGATGACAGCTCCCACCTATTGATTTGTTGTGAGCATTGAACAAATAAATTTATGTTTATAAGGTGCTTAGAAGAGTGTTGGGATGAAGCAAGGCCCACTTAAGTGCCTCCTGTTATTATGATTATTATCTTCAGAATTCTAAGTCATGCAAGAAAGATTTTGTTTGGAGAAAGGAGTGTGCTGTTAAAAAAGTGTTTTAAAAGGGAGGTTGAAGGGCCAGCCCAGTGGTACAGTGGTTAAGTTCACATGCTCTGCTTCAGCGGCCCGGGGTTCACTGGTTCGGATCCCAGGTGCAGACCCACACACCACTCGTCAAGCCCTGCGGTGGTAGGCATCCTGCATATAAAGTAGAGGAAGATGGGCATGGATGTTAGCTCAGGGCCAGTCTTCCTCAGCAAAAAGAGGAGGGCTGGCGGCAGATGTCAGCTCAGGGTTAATCTTCCTCAAAAAAAAAAAAAGGGAAGTTGAGAGGTGTGATCTAGTCCAAGCCCCTCATGACTCCTAGAACTGAGACCCAGAGAAGAGGGCAAAATTGTCTGAGCGCGCAGGGCAGGCTCGGATAGGACTCGCAGTCCAGTGCTCTGTTCACAGCCCCAGTGCCTTCTATCAGCACTGTCTCTTGCCCAGGCTGTAGGACGGTTGACTTTAGCCTGGTGCCCAGCCCGTCAGCCTCTGCCCCCAGGCATTCCCGGAGCCCTTCCGCAGAGCTTGGTAAACTCCCAGTCACCTCTCAGCTCAATGCCCCCGGCTTCCTGGCCCCAACATTCCTCCCTTCTGTGTACATTTGACCTCAGCTCATCCTGGGAGGTCGCCCAGCCCCCGTGCCTCTCCAGCGTCCTGGAAGTCCGGGATACAGGACAGCCTATGCCAGCCCATCGGCAGCGTCTTCAGAGGGACTGCTGCCTGCCGTACGTTCTGGATAAAAGGATGGGCGCAGGGACTGTGTGTGAGTCTCCTCTGGCTGCTGTAACAACACACACACGCAGCGGCTTAAAACAGCACAAATGCATTCTCTCCAAAATGCATCTTTTGGGGCTGGAATCGCAGTGTTGTCAGGGCTGCGTGCCTGCTGGCGGCACCAGGGGAGAGCACGTTTCCAGCTCCCAGGGGCTGCCCGCGTTCCTTGGCTTGTGGCTGCCTTGGGCGAGTCACCCTCCCTCTTTGTGGGTCAGGAAAGATGGGGAGACGATAGTCCTCGCCTCACAGGGTTATTGTAAGGAGTGAATGAGTTCATGTCCGGGAAGCACAGGTTCTCAGTGCCTGGCACACAGGACACGCTCGATAAGAAATGATTATTTTCATCATCACTATTACTTATTATTACAGGAATCAAGTCTCCTGATGACAGAGCATGAGAAGAGCTGGAGTAGACGGATGCCAGGGTGCCGTGAGCGAGCAGAGGAGACTGATGAGAGGCAGTGTGCCGTTCAATGGTGACTGGCTTTCTGGGGAAAAAAGTCCTTCTTTGTAGTGTTTGCCAATTACCGTGGTGTAAATACTCCTACCGTAAGCAGTTTTTTGCTCTAACAGCATGACCTCCCTGAATGCCGAGTTGGGAAGAGATGCTAATGGTTGGCTCTGGCAAGCCTGTGCCAGTCGACTCCGTCCATCACTGCATACACCGGGGGGGCCAGGGGAGCGCCCCCCATGGTGGGACCTGGGCAAACCTTGACGGGCGAGCAGTGAGCACGTGAAGCAAGGGAGGAGGGAGGCAGGTGGGAATCAAAAACGATGGGCTTCTCTGCTTTGCTGAGGGCTACAGGCTTTACACTGGCCTGGGGGAGCCATTGGCGAGGGAAGCCGGGGTTGCCCACCTTGGAACATTCTAGCACCACCCTGGCGAGCTTTTAAAAAGCTCCCATGACTGGGCCACATCCAGCTCCGTGAACTCAGAACTGCGGGGTTGCAGGATTGCTTCGAAAGTTCCTCGGGTGACTCTGCGTGAGGCTGGGCTCCGGGAACAGGCGCTTGACATCAGGAGGGGCGTGATTGCAGACGCGTTTTCTGGAGCTCACTTGTGCTCGCTCTCCTATATTGCTGGAGGCAGTGTAAAATGGTACCACCCTTTGAAAGGGCGATTTGGCACTATTGACCAAAACAAGAAACACAGATGCCCTCTGACCTTCAATCGCACATCTAGGGATTTATTCTGCAGATAAGCTCGCACGTGAGTGCAAGACGTGTGTGTAAAGATGCTCACTATGGCATCGTTGGTGATAGTGGCGGATTGGAAATGACCGAAATGTCCCCCATCAGAGGGCTGGTTGAATAAATGACGGTCCTATAGGCGAGAGAAACCCCTGCATCTGTTAAAGAGAGACAGAAAAATCTCTCTGTTCTGACGTGGAAGGACCAGCGAGGTGCCTGAAGTGCAGGGTGCAGAACAGATCATAATGAACGCTCGAGTCTGGGTGAAAACAGACAAGAGGGGTGTGTGTGTGTGTGTGTGTGTGTGCAGAGAATATTTGTTTCCAAAAAATGAGTAAAAAACTAGAAACTGGGTTGCCTCTGGGGAGAGAAGCTGAGTGGTTTTAGGAGGGGGTGAAAGGAAGACAGAAATTTCCTCCTCTCTATACATCATTTGATACTGTTTCATTTTTTTAAAACCATGGGCATGTATTGATTCAAAAACTTTTTTTTTAAGTTAAATTAATAGGCATCCTGGTAGCATGGGGAGGAGGAGCCAGCCTGGAAGAAAGCGATGGTTTATCAGACCGGGCTGGAGGAGATGCGGCCTAAACGAGTCAGTGGCTGTGGGCCTGGAGGGGAGGGAGGAGGGGAGAGGAGCCAGAATAGATGGGAGGGACCACCCAGAAAGGGCTGGACAAATAGCAATGGGGGCCCTTCCCTGCCTCCAGCTGATTCAGCCCCAACCGTACCCCAGCAGGGAGATCTGGTGAGCAGCCAAGGCCTCAGACCCCACTGGAGTGACCTGTTCCCAGTCCTTGCACCACTGAGGACATTCAGCGGGACCTCTTTGGGGAAACTGAGGCATCACAGCGGTTTTTGTTATGGACTTGAAGTAGAAGCACGCTCGGATCATTTACCATGGAGAGTCCCAAAGTTGAGGCTCCTCCAGGATCCAGGAGGGCGACACAAGGCAGGCTGGGGTGGGGCTGTGGGGGAACGCCCCAGTCACGAAGGTGGAAGGTGGGGCCACTGTTGAGATAGCTTCACACTCGGAAGGAAGAGCTGTAAGTCCTGGTTTTTATGCTAAATCTCTCTCACATTCTAAAGGTTGCCCACTAACTCTGAAACTTATGAAGCACCGTGGAGCTGAACAGATGCGTTTCTGATGACCCAGCAATTCCGCTCCTGGGGTACACCCGTGAGAAACTTGCTCACGCGCACTGAAAACTTTAGGTCAAGGCCCTGTTTTATGACAGCCGCAGATTGGCACACGCACAAACGGGAGCCCGGGTAAACGAATCGTGGACACGCACAGGGTGGAATACCACACAGCAAGGAGAACATGCACCCTGACCGTTTGCAACAACACGGAAGAATGTCATAGTCGTTAAGTTGAGAGAAAGAAGCCAGGCACAAAAGAGCAGACACAGCGCGATTCCGTTTATATAAAATTCAAAAACAGGCAAAGCTCGGAGCCGGCCCCTTGGCCGAGTGGTTAGGTTTGCGCGCTCCACTTTGGCGGCCCAGGGTTTCGCCGGTTGAGATCCTGGGCGCGAACATGGCACCGCTCATCCAGCCACGCTGAGGCGGCGTCCCACATAGCACAGCCAGAAGGACCCACAACCCAAAATACACAACTAAGTACTGGGGGGATTTGGGGAGAAAAAGGGAAAAAAAAAAAAAAAGGCAAAGCTGATCTATGGTGATGAAACCAGGACAGTGATTATTTAGGGCGGTGCATGGTCGGTTCTGGGGGCTGGCCGTGTGGTTTGACCTGTTCCATCTGGGGGCTGATGACACAGGAGGTTGAATCTGCGCAACAAACTTGCATACTTTAGTATGCATGTTATATTTAAATTTTAGAAGTGTGGCTTTTTTTGCTTTTTTTTTAACAACCGCGGGCATGGAGGGCCTAATAAGACCCATCAGTGGGCTGGATTCAGCCTTGGGCTCCTGGTTACAACCAGGTTGTCACAGCAAATGGCTTTGAAGTGTCCGGGCTTTCAAAGCTGCTCAAGCCTGGAACCTCGATTTTTTTGTCAGTCGCTCCTGAACCTGCAGTGACGCCCTGCTCTGTGCCTTTGCCTGGACCCCGCCTGCCCTCCCTCCCTCCCTTCCTCCTGGAATCCTGAGGTCCTTGTGGATGGAGGAATGTCAGCGGTGGAGGTCTGACTCGCTACCTTCCACCTGCCTCCTGCTTTCCTTTTCTGGAAGGGAGGAGAGAGGTGGTTGGATCCTTTACAGCCAGTTAAGCTTTCTGTTTAAAAGTATTGCTCAGGAGGTAATTATCCCCCGTGGAAGATGCAAGCCCTTCCAGAAAGCGAGTCTGTCCTCCGGCGGCCTGCAGAAGCTGAGGGCTGTCAGGGACAGCCTCCACTACAAAGGGACGTGCCACTGCCTTTGAATGCCGGGCAGTCGGCTCTGCAGCTGAGTCCTTTCTATCGGAGGAGGGGTGCCTCCGAGGAGACTGGAACGTCATTATACTCTGACTGGGGGATACAGAGCAGAGCACGTGCTGGGGTCTCGGCTCCCTGCCCCAGGTGCTTGTAGCTTTTTATTATGACATTTTTCAAACCAGCGGGAAAATTGCAAGACTAGTACAATGAATGTCCCTGTTCCCTGCCGAGGCTCGTAATTACTAGTGTCTCATCATATTGGCTTTATAATGAATATATATATATTTTTGAAACATTTCAAAGCAAACTACAGACACTTCACCCTGAATTCTTCAGCATAGACATGGAGAAAAATAAAGATAATTCTCTACATAATCACAAGACCATTGTCACCTCTAACACAAATAACATGAACGATAATTCCCTAATATCATCTAATGTTCGGCCCATAATCAAATTTCTGTGTCTCCAAAATGTCTTTTATCACTGTTTTTCAAAGACCAAGATCCAATTCAGGGTCACATACGACATTTGCTGATCATGTTTCTTGACTCTTTTAATCTCAGACAATCCTCTGTGCTTCCAGCACCTTCTCCCCACCCCCCAGGACGCTGAGTTTTTAAAGACATCAAGCCAGTTGTCTTGTAGACGGCTCCTCCTTCTAGGTTTATCCCATTGTTCCCAAGTGCCCCTCTATTTCTGGAAATTAGGTCTAAAGTATTGATTATGCTCAAGTTTAAATAGTTTTGGCAAGAATGCTTTATCGATGGGGACACGGGGAACTCATGAGGCTTGGCTGTCCCCGTGGATGACACCAAGAAGCATCGTGGGTTAAAGTGGCCACAGAGGATGTCTAAACTCTAAGGGAACATTTCCCTTTTGCAGTTAGCTAGTATTCTGGGGGGATATTTGGGCCTCATCTCTTTTTATTCTTTAGTTCTGTGGCGGAGAGGATGCGGGAACCTGGGGGGTGGCGTTGGAAAGCGCGTGAGAAGCCTCGAGGCTCCCTCCCTCCGAGGTGAGCTCCCAGCCCTCACAGATGCCATTTTCGGGTCCAGAGACAGCACATCTAGCAGTTTCTCCTTCGCAGCTCAGAGAGGGCCAGTCGGACGCACCAAGAAGCGTGGCCAGCGCACCGTTACTACCATCTATCGCTCAGCTCTCCTGTGAACCACACGCTGAATGAAACACACATTTTAGCCCTTCCAACAGCCGGATATCAGAGACAGATCCAATCATCCCCTCAGTCTAGAGATGGAGACATGGAGGCCTGGAGAAGCTCAAGAACTCAGAGCAGGTGAGGCTGGAGTGTGGGAGGGATGCGGGCCTGTGAGGAGGAGCCCTGACAGGGCGGGCGTGGGGACGGGCTGGATGGAGGATGGGGGTGCAGACAGTGAAGGAGCAGGAGGAGGCTATGGACACCCCAAGACTGCCCGTCTGTGATGGAGCAGAAGGAGGGGCAGGAACCCAAATGGGAAGCAATGGAGGAGGAGAGGTTTGCGGGACAGGATGTCATCCTTGAACCCCGCTGCGGGTGTTTGGGAATTTGAGTCCGGAGACCAGAGAAGAGCTGGGGGCTGGCAGTACGAGCGTGAGCATCCTCAGCACCCCCGCCAGGGAGCACACGTCACGTCCAGAGTCCAGAGAGGTGCAGCTGGGGAGGGGAGGCGGGGAGAAGGGGCAGGTAAGCGAGGGGTGACCCTGGAGGCGAGGATGTGGGGAAAGCAATGAATTTCCCCTGGCTCCCGGCCCCGGAGGGAGGACAGAGCAGCTCTGGTTCTTGGGAGGCCTGGAGCGCCCTTGAGTGAAGGGATTTCCCCAGAAGGCCCTGTCCTGGCCGAGAGGCAGGTTCGGGATTCGGGTTTGCAGCAGGTGGAAATGGGCAGATCCTGGGCATCCCCCACCCACCCCGGACCATGAGCCGCTCATGCCTGGTCATAGGGGGCTGGGTGGGATTCTCCTGCCCAGAGAACCCCTGGGGAGCCTTGATGAGGATCCTGAACGCGTCTGGTGGGACGGGAGGCCCTTTTAGGATTTCCCAGGGATTCTCAAGAACCACCTGGCTGAGAGTCTGCGTGGCCCATAGGGTCATGGCACCTTGTCAGGTTGCGAATTATTTCCTGTAAAAGGGTGGACAGGGGCCCCTAGAGGCTCCCCTCCTCCCCAGCCCCTCTCTTCCCCTTCCCTCCCCGTCCCCCCACCAGGAACCATTTGTGCTTGCGCCCCATCCTCACTGTCACAGCGTCAGATGAGCCATCCCGGAAGGACGTGCGTGCTGCGAGGCCTCTAGGGAAAAGGGTATTGCTCCAGGTGAGTCAGGGGTCAGCAGGTCAGGCGGGCTTCGCTCCCAGGGGTCTGCTCAGCCCCTTTAACAAGCTGACGTGTGACGTGCTCCTCCTAGACCCAGGGCTGGCTGGCGGTCCCCTATGTGTCCCCCCACCTCTTGCCTCCTGGGTGCCCCCTTGTTAACAGGCCCGCTCTCTGCACTCTGTTATTGGGGTGCACAGCCTGGGAGGTGCTGGTCTGCAGGGGCTCCCTGGCAGAAGGATTGCCAGACCCTAGGGCCCCCAGGGGAATGACCTGGAGTCTTGGTGATGCCTGTGGCACGGTGGCAGGACTGTTTTCGCCAGCGTCATTCGGCAGAAGTGGGGTGGAAGGTGGCGGGGGTGGGGGAGGGGCCAGGGTAAAACGCCAAATGGCAGAGGTGGGCACTGTTGAGACCAGGAGGCCCGCGCGGTTGGCAGCTAGGAGCGTCCAGGGTGGGAACTGGCAGAGAGAGAAGCAGGCCCATCACCAAGGGGCTCACCATGGGAGGCCTCGTCTCTGTCACCTCCAACTCCTTAAATGCACCCATCCCGCATCAAAGAAGGGCATCGCTTTGCGAAGATGTGGGGACGTGCTTGTTTATTATTGTGCTTTTGAAGGCTTTCGGCTGCAAGGAGCTCAGCTAACCTGCCATCGGGTGCTTCTCCTCACTCACCTGCCTCAGAGAGACCGCTTCAAGACAAGACCCTAAAGCGACACGCTCTTTTCAAGTGTAATGAAATATTCTGGATGTGGCATTGGCCAGTGAACAAATGAAGATGTGAACCATCGAAGTCCGTATTAATAGCAGTGTGTTTTTTCTCAAGATTTAGAAGCTTTGCTTTCAGAATCAGCCATCTCTTAGCAGGTCTCTGAGAAGCTTGAGGGTCCTGGGGTCTTGGGGACCAGAGGGGCCTAATGGAGGCAGGGGAGGCAGGGGGCTTCAGGGAACCAGGAGGGGCTGAGAGCCCGCCGTCTCCAGGAGGAGGGTGGCCGAGGTGGGGAAGCAGTGACTCATGTCCAAGTTCAGGATGTTGGGTGGGTGCGGGTGTGCCAAGGTCCCAGGTACACCTGACAGTATATGGACAAGGTAGCAAATATTTCTGCAACATGATGAAAAACTTGAAAATAAGGCAAATGGCTGCCTTACTTTCAACGTCCTTTCAATGTCACGCTCTAGCCTCAATTAAGAGGCCAGCCCAGAAGTTATTTATATTTAATTCTCTAAGGACTTGTGCTTTTGTTCGACTCTTTTTACTATTCATTAGGGCCCGGAATCTGAAGTGAACATGTTAACTTGCAAATTTGTGTCTGGTAGCGATGAATATGATTTCTCTCTGTTTGCAAAGAAACCTGCAAGGTTATGGTTTCCTTGCCCCGCAGAGCATCTCCACCCAGCAATCTTGCATCTCACCCAGCAGTCCAGCCCAGCCCTCTTGGGTGTGTGTAGCACGAGGTCCTCAAATGCCTCTCGGACCAGATTTCCCAGCCCGCTGGCCCCCTCATCAATGGGCACAGCAGATTAGGACACATGTTCTTTCTATATTGGTATGGGAGGCATTTTTTAAAACTTTTTCGAATGTGTACTTTGATGCCGTTTCCTAGCAAAACACGCTTCCTGGAGACCCAGGTAGGGAAGGCCAATGGGGCCGTGGGAGTTTGTAGGAGTTTGGGTCTTGTGTGTTTGTGTACGCGTGTGTGTGTGCGCATGTGTGTGTGTGTCTGTTATTAGGAGCTAAAACTCAATTTTATTGCTGGAAAAATCTCATAATTTGCTTTCACACCTTTTAAGAGCTGTTTACTCCGGGCATAGTCTGCCTTCATGAAGATTTTGAAAAATCTAGGGCAGTGATTTTCCTGAGATGGGAGCAAGAAGGTCACCAGGAGAGCGTGCTGTCCCACGGATCCTCAAGATTCTAGAGTACGTACTCAATCAGGCAAGATGGAGAAGCTAAAAGCATAGAATAATTGACCTATTTTTTTTTTTTAAGCAGAAGCTTTGTTCTCTTCTGGAACACGAAAACATTTGTTATCCTAAAAAGAAATGTTTGTTTGACTTGTTTCGCTGTCAGCAGATATTTTGGCTTTTGCATCCAACACCCTTCCTAGCTAAATAAACAGGAGGCGGGGCCAGGACTCTCAGGTGTGTATTTAGAGCAAATCTAGACAAGAACAGTGGTGGAGAGGTGGTGGGGTGACGTCTCCTCATTCCAGCGAGAGTGGGAGGTCGAGGCCCCAGCAGCATCGTGTTGTGGGGGCGGGGTCTGGTCTGAGGAGGTGGGCTCAGATCTCGCTCCATCGCAGAGGGCATGTTGGACCTGAGCTGGACGTTTGTCCATTATGCTACCGGCCCAAGGGCTGGCATGGAGTGGGCATACAGTAAGCACGGGATGGAGGGATGGATAGACAGCTGCACACATGACCACGCGCCCTCTAGGACCAGTTCAAACTGACCCCATCTTATCAACAGAAGGTTAAAGTTGTTTTTCCGGGGCAAGCCTAAAAATACAAGTCAGGGAGCCAGAGTGCACACAGAGGGGAAAGTATTGACCTGAAATAACACCTGGAACCAGAGATTCCACCCTCGCTCGCCCCAACAGAACCAAAACCGGAACTTGAAAGCTGGACTCTCATCAGAAGCCAAGGGTCCGCTGTCTAGGAAGATCTGGTGTTAAAGCCCCTTCCACATCTTTCTATAAATGTTTAAAGCCCTCCCATCAAAACCTGCCCCAGGGGCCGGCCCTGTGGCCCAGTGGTTAGGTTCATGTGCTGGGCTTCCGCGGCCCAGCGTTTCTCTGGTTCAGATCCTGGGCGCCGACATGGCACTGCTCGTCAGGCCATGCTGAGGCAGCGTCCCACATGCCACAACTAGAAGGACCCACAACTAAAATATACAACTATGCACTGGGGGGCTCTGGGGAGAAGAAGAAGGGAAAAAACAAAGATTGGCACCTGATGTTAGCTCAGGTGCTAATCTTTAAAAAAAAAAAAAAAAAAAGCCTGCCCCACCAGGGCTTCTGCACACCAGCCTGTTCCTCCTAACCTCTTACATTTTGCCCCAAGCCCTGGGTCAGGGAGACACATTTTAGAGCTTTGCCTCTTGCCTCCTTGACGGTCAACCTCGCAGTAAAGACTTTTCTTTCCCCAAATTACAGTGGCGTAATTGTTGGCTTTTCATGCTCATTGGGCAGAGAATCCCCTTTTTGTGTGATAACACATGCATGCCTGCATACATCAATGGATGCATGAATGGATGGATAGATGGATGGATGGATTCATGGAGGCATGGATGGATGGATTCATGGATGCATGAATGGATGGATGGATGCATGGAGGCATGAATGGATGGATGGATGGCTGGATGGGTGGATTCACAGCTGCATGGATACATGCATGGATGGATGGATGGATGCATAGATGGATTCATGGATGCATGAATGGATGGATGGATGGATGTACACACAAATGGGGCATCTAGCCCTCTTTCCACTCCTGAAGCTGCCTGAGGATCTTGATTCTTGTGCCCTGTTCAGTAATTAGATACTGGTTTGGATATTTTGGGGTCAATCTGAGGTAACTTGAATATGATCTTGATATTAGATGAGATGCAATCCTCCTGGAATGAGAAGGTGGAAGTTGTTGACTAAAAAAAGCATGAACAAAATATTTAGAGTAATCTTGTTCGGGTTTTAAAAATATGTATATGTATGTGTGTGTGTGTATATTTGAATGCTGACTCTCTAAAATTACTACCAAAATAAGCTACTAAAAAACCAAAAATTAATTGATTGCATCCTGCAGTAAAGGAAATCTTGGAAGGGAGAAGGCAAAGATGTAACTGCGATGGTTAATTTTATGTGTCAACTTGACTGAGCTAAAAGATGCCTGGATAGCTGGTAAAACATTATTTCTGGGGGTGTCTGAGGATATTTCCAGAAGGATTAGCATTTGAGTCAGTGGACTGCAAAGTAGATGGTCCTCCCCCGGCGTGGATGGACATCCTCCATTCCACTGAGGGTCCGAGTAGAACGCAAAAGGAGGAAGGGCGAACGCACGCTCTCTGTTGGAGCTGGGACGTCCACGTTGTCCTGTGCTCGGACGTCGGCGCTCCTGGTTCTCAGGCTTGTGGACTCAGATCAGGACTTGCACCATCGGCCCCCCAGTCCCCAGGCCGTCAGACTCGACTGACTACACCGCGGCTCTCGGGGGTGTCCAGCTTGCTCGGCAGATCATGGGACTTCTCAACCTCCATCACCACGTGAGCCAGTTCCTATTCTAAATCTCCTCTCCTTGAAATCTATGTATGTCTCGCTGCCTCTGTTTCTCTGGAGAACGCTGACTGATACAGGAATGTTCCGGAGGGTTATTTCAGGTCTCAGTCAAGGCGGGTCTTCCAATGAGCAAAGTTCAAAACAAAATAGTTTAGGATTGGTGGACACGGTGAGGCAAAGATTTGGAAGGAAGTCCTGAATTGTCTGAGGGAGGGCCCTTTGCTCTGCTGAGGGCTCAGTGGACGAAAGGAATTGGGGGAGAGCTGTCGGCAGCCTTGTGTTCCTGGGCAGGGGCTCCCTGAGTGGTGAAGGCTCCTGAATGCAGGCTGGAGCCCTCTGAGCGCAGATGGCTTCATGGCAACAAGTAAAGCCCCGAACGACTGAAATCCTAAAGAGGCATTGGGAAAACGTGTGTCAGCCAAAATGGCAAAAGACTGGGAAACGGGGAAAAAATAAGCAAAGGTTGGTGGGGCTTCTGTCTAGTTCCCCCACCTGGGTTATCTCCAGCTTTCATGGTCTTCGAGCCCTTTTAGAATTCAAAGTTGTAGAAAACGGGTCAAACAGCAGACGGTGCCTGTCCGTCGGCACGCACATTCACTGAGCTCACCTGAGTGCCACCATCACTGGCCTGCAAGTGGACTTGTTTTCAGCTACCTGTAAATTCATTTCAAAATTCCTCATTCCCCACGTACGTGTGGTTCCTAGGATTCTCCTCTGAGTGGTCGGAACATCTTCCTAGCTCTCTCATTTTTAGAGAGTTAAAAATGCTTGACGTGTTCGTTTTATATTTGTATGAGAGTCATGATTTCAGCATTTTAAAGAATCATCTTTTAATATGTAGAGTGAGTGAGTGAAGCCCACGTCGTCGCTCCTCTGGCTCTGCTCACGCTCTCCCCACGGCTCAGAATGTTCTTTCTTTCCTTCCCACCGTCACCTTTCTCGGTTCCTCCTCATCCTAGAGTTTGCGGCTTCACTCTCTCTTCCCCGGGAAGCTTCTCGACTGTCCAGCTTAGATCTCCCGTCACATACGTGCTCTTGGCTGCGTTACCTTCCTTTGCCAAGACGTGTTCTGATTTTAAAGACGTTTGGAAATGTCTGACTCCCTGAGCTCACGGAATATGTGTTCAAAAACACGTCTGTGGGGCCGGCCCGTGGCCAAGTGGTTCAGTTCGCGTGCTCTGTGTCGGCAGCCTGGGGTTCGCCAGTTTGGAACCTGGGTGTGGACCTACGCACCGCTCATCAAGCCATGCTGAGGCAGCGTCCCACATAGAGGAACTAGAATGACCTACAACTAGGATATACAACTGTGTACCCGGGGCTTTGGGAAGAAAAAAAAAGAGAGGAAGATTGGCAACAGGTGTTAGCTCAGGGACAATCTTAAAAAAAAGGATCTGTGTTAATTATGTAAGGAGAAATGTTATGGAATGTTTTATTTTTCCTCTCTCTTCCCCTAGTCCACTTCCCTGGGATTCTGGCACGTTCCAAAACCAGGATAACACAAGGGAGTGTTTGCCAATCTGACTCAAAGTGCTGGAAGGGAGAGGAATCCTTTTAGTGGAATAGCACGAGGACGAGGCGGTTAAGCGGGGCCCCTTTAGTGT